AAAAAAAAAGTAACATTTCATATCTATCTTTTTGTCTCCTACAAGTCACTGGCCTATCGTTAATACCGGAACTCATCAGTTGGGCTAGTTGGTTGGTTTTGAATTTCTCGCAAAGCTACACGAGGGCTATCTGCGCTAGCCGTCCCTAATTTAGCAGTGTAAGACTAGAGGGAAGGCAGTCAGTCATCACCACCCACCGCCAACTCTTTGGCTACTCTTTTACCAACGAATAGTGGGATTGACCGCAACATTATAACGCCCTCACGGCTGAAAGGGCGAGCATGTTTGGTGTAAAGGGGATTCGAACCCGCGACCCGCAGATTACAAGTCGAGTGCCCTAACTACTTGGCCATGCCGGGCCCCAGTCGGGCTAGAATGAGGAACAAAAGATTATAATGGTTTAAAAGTTAAGTTTCCGTGTTTTTATCACAAATTTAGTAAAGTTTACTGTGAATATTAGAAATCATTTTTGCAAAAATCCATAATTTTTCAAAAACTATCCTGAATTAAAACTTAACTTAAAAAAAGAATAGTAGAAGAAACAAACAAGTAAAGGAAGGTGGATCCCAACAAACAAATCATTAGCCTATTTCACTTCTAGCGTGAGAAAGTGAGTAAAGGAAGGTGGATCCCAACAAACAAATCATTAGCCTATTTCACTTCTAGCGTGAGAAAGTGAGTAAAGGAAGGTGGATCCCAACAAACATATCTACTGGGTGGATCCCAACAAACAAATCATTAGCCTATTTCACTTCTAGCGTGAGAAAGTGATCCTTTACCCACTTTCTCACGCTAGAAGTGAAATAGGCTAATGATTAGGTTTACAACAATGGATTTTAATTTCTCAATTGTGAAGTAGTGCCGGTGAAAATTGAGAAGGTAATATTCAAGGCATTTTGCCAAAAAATTTGTAAACTTTTTTTTTTAAATGAAGAACTCCGTTTTAAAATGGTTTTATTTAACGTTAGTCAAATATACATCTTGGGTTCTTCAATTCGTGTCGTCAGATCTAAGTTCGTCAGGGGAAGTTGACATGCTAATCGCTTCCCGCCATCAAAATCTTGATATGTGTTAGACAAATTGACTTCCTTGTTAGAAGTTCGTTTCGAAGTTATAATGGACAGGTGCACTTATGAGTTTTGTGTGCGGATCGTAAATGTTCTCGACAGAATACACCATGCGAGTATTTTCGTTGTCTCCATACCACTTTGGCGGAAGTCAGAATATAGTTTTTACATTACAACTTTCCTATTTTTGATACCTTCAGATGGTTTAGTTACTCTTCTTTCACGACAATAGTTTGTTATAGATGAAACATATTTATCTTAAAAAAAAAATAACGAAGCACCTTATTCTGAGAAATTAAGCTGCTCACTGTGAACTGTCTAAAAAGTTTTCCAGGAAAAAAAGGAAGAATATGAAAGAAAGAAAAAAGGAAACGAACAAAGCAGGTGTTTTGGTGTAACTTTCCTTGTTTTTACCTTTATTTAATGTTTTAAAATAAGAGTTCAGCTACTCGGACTATCACTACTGGTTCTATCCCGTGTAAAATATGGACTCTTTTTTTATTGCCAGCAGTTTAACGTGAAACCATGAATTACCTACCCCTCACGTGGCAAGAGGCAAAACAATTTTATAAAGTTGGCTTAGAATAAATGCCTAAGTTCTTGTAGCATCGTTCTTAGATTAAATACATTAAATGAAAACATTATAATCAAAGTTATTTTCTATACATAAACGTGTCTAACCTAAAACGTTTGAAACAAATGTAATAAGGGAAAGGGTGATGGACCCTGTATAAACAATGCTAAGAATTAGTAGACTACGTTTTATTAAGGAAACTTCAACATCTCGTAGTACAAAATTAAGGTTTTGTAGCTGTCTTGTGATATTTTATTGGAAAAGCGACGTTTACATAAATTCAATTAAAACTGTGAATAACATTCTAAATACTCGAGCTAGTTTTGTAGTTAAGAACAGATAAATAGTGAAATACATTGATGAACAACATTCTAATACGTGAGTTAGTTTTGTAGTCAAGAACAGATAAATAGTGATATACGTTGATGAACAACATTCTAATACGTGAGTTAGTTTTGTAGTTAAGAACAGATAAATAGTGAAATACGTTATTGAACAACATTCTAATACGTGAGTTAGTTTTGTAGTTAAGAACAGATAAATAGTGAAATACGTTGATGAACAACATTCTAATACGTTAGTTAGTTTTATAGTTAAGAACAGATAAATAGTTAAATACGTTGGCGAACAACATTCTAAATACGTTAGTTAGTTTTGTAGTTAAGAATAGATAAATAGTGAAATACGTTGATGAACAACATTCTAATACGTGAATTAGTTTTGTAGTTAAGAACATAGATAGTGAAATACGTTGATGAACAACATTTTAATACGTGAATTAGTTTTGTAGTTAAGAGGAATTAACGCGGAATTACACTAAATAGAATTAAAATAAACGTCAGTTATTTTTATGGGCATCTGAAATAGACTGGCCCTAAATAAAATCATTGCGCTATATTGAGGAACATCCTGACACCCAAATTTACAGAGAAAGTCGTGTTATAACACTAATTTCTTCAATGATTACCTAAGGTATTTTGGGTATTTAACGTTCGTTATGTTGGTGTTAAAGTTAAATTATGTTACAGTTAATCTAGTTTAAGTAACCTGAGAAATTATAGGAATGCATTTATTGTAAACCCATTTTCAATTTGTCACGAGAACATTCTCCGATAGATCTGATGGCTTGCAAATAACATTATGAAACAGATTTACTTCTCATTGTGTGTAGAATTTTATCATTTATTAACTTGTGATAAAGACACCTACTCGGAGGAAAACAAAAAACCAACTTTGTAACGAGTATAGCTAATTAAATATACTTTTCTTACCTTCCTACAAATAAAGATAAAATGAATTTTTTCGTCAGTTGGCTAATTTCAAGTAAAATAGCTTATATCCACCATTGTCTGAACAAGAAGTTTCTATCGAAACAAGTTTCGACACTTTCACGTGTCGTCTTCAGTCGAACTTTTCTTTGTAACACCGTTTATTTTATTACGGTCGTTCCAAGTCTTTTGAGGGCATCTGACGTCAGTAAAGGGTTCAGTTTATTGTTTGTTGAAGTTAAGCACAAAGCTACACACTATGGCTATCTGTGCTCTGACCACCACGGGTATCGAAACCCGGTTTCTAGCGTTGTAAGTCCGCAGACATACCGCTGTACCCCTGGGGGAGCGGTTCAGTTTATAGTGACCTACTGAACTGTTAAAGTTTGGCCTTTTTTGAACTAACGAACTTTCTACAATCCTTCTTTGACAAAATTTCTAGTTTTATGTATCATTTTGGATGTAAACTTTGTGTATTTACAGGCTAACAAAATGAGTACTTTAACTTTTAAATGTTTTTATATTTCTTTGTCTTGACAGGTAGAAACACACACAGTCTTCCTGCGAGAAAATGGTGTTAATCTAACTCTTACAATAGTAGACACACCAGGTTTTGGAGATGCAGTAGACAATAGTGAATGGTTAGTTTACATCTTCAATGTTTGCAAGATTTCAAACTGTACTTGTATGTATTACTGGGCAATAGTGTTTTAACGGAAGTATTCCCCAATACGTAGCTATATTACTAGGCAATAGTGTTTTAACGGAAGTACTCACCAATACGTAGGTATATTACTGGGCAATAGTGTTTTAAGGGAAGTACTCCCCAATACGTAGGTATATTACTGGGCAATGGTGTTTTAAGGGAAGTACTCACCAATACGTAGGTATATTACTGGACAATAGTGTTTTAACGGAAGTACTCCCCAATACGTAGGTATATTACTGGGCAATGGTGTTTTAACGGAAGTACTCCCCAATACGTAGGTATATTACTAGGCAATAGTGTTTCAAGGGAAGTACTCGCCAATACGTAGGTATATTACATGACAATAGTGTTTTAACGGAAGTACTCCCCAATACGTAGGTATATTACTAGGCAATAGTGTTTTAACGGAAGTACTCCCCAATACGTAGGTATATTACTAGGCAATAGTGTTTTAACGGAAGTACTCACCAATACGTAGGTATATTACTAGGCAATAGTGTTTTAACGGAAGTACTCACCAATACGTAGGTATATTACTGGGCAATAGTGTTTTAAGGGAAGTACTCCCCAATACGTAGGTATATTACTGGGCAATGGTGTTTTAAGGGAAGTACTCACCAATACGTAGGTATATTACATGACAATGGTGTTTTAACGGAAGTACTCGCCAATACGTAGGTATATTACTGGGCAATGGTGTTTTAAGGGAAATACTCAATAAAACGTAGGTAAAATGCATTCAAAGTTTTATGGTTAAAAACTTTATTTTCTTGTTAAAAAATAAGTTTATATAAAACAAGTGATGTATAAGATATCACAAGAGTTGAAACAGTTTATTCCAAAACTTGAGTTCACTTCACCAACGCTTCTATAGGACACCTTTATAGCAGAGCCCCCTACCAAAATTTTAATTTTGTTGAAATTCTATATACTGTACATTAGAGATGTTAATATTAGATTGTTTTATTTTCTACTGTTAGGTGTCTGTAATAATTTTAAAATGATCAACTGAAACATCTGTATCATACTTTGGTTACACCATACCATTGTCAGGTTTTATGTATGGGTGGGCCAGATTCTTTACAGTAGGTGTCTGTTACTTGTTGATAATATATTTGAACAATAAGCAAACAGCACACAGTCCACTTGTTTTAGAATAATATATTAAAACAAGTCAAACATATGCAAATGTTCGTTACACTGTTGGTTATAACAGTTGTATCCAGAGCTTTAAATAATTTTATTTTTTCGTCAAAGTCCACACATTGGTTTCGTTATTTTAGAAGACGAATTATTCTTTTCTGCTTTATTATTACAATACAGTCTGTGATAATTTTGACTTTAGAAATCTCCACTACACCGTCTTTATTGCTAAACTCACAATTACACAGTTGAGATATATCTATCAAACTAAGTTTTCCACCTGTATTTATACCCCGACAAAGGTTTAGAATGTTTCACACAATACTAGATATTATGATGCAATAATACCCAATTACAACAACGAGAAGAACTCTGAAGGTTCTGGTAACATGACGCAATAATATAACAATCGCCAATTCACAACAATTTAACAACACAATGTATGATTAGTAAAAAAATTATGTAAACAAACCCACGATAAACTAAAACCTTTAAAAATAACTAAATTTAACACTCGCGCTATACAAACTGCCTATATCACAACACTTGCATTCAACTTAAACTGAAACAGTCGGGTATATTTAACAATAAGCCCTCTTCAATGAAAACGTTTACAATATTTTTTATAGCATATACAAGGAGAGTTTTCAGTTCATGCACAAAGTCTACACATACAGTCTGCACCAACATTTTTAATTTCTCTTGATCGCTTCAATCAAGAACCGGTAGTTCTGGCGACATAACACCCTCCTCGTGATTCTAGTGGCGACATAACACCCTCCTCGTGATTCTAGTGGCGACATAACACCCTCCTCGTGATTCTAGCACTGTCGATGTTCCACCTATGTATGTATGCAAGGGGCTGATGATCCATCTGGACTCCTTCCTGTAGAGGTAGTTTTGGAACTTCTGGATAGTAAATATGATGGTCATACACACTCGTTAAACCACAGAATAGTTCTCACTACTCAACAGCCTTTCACATACGTACATTATGGGAAACAGTCCGTCAACTTGTTCTTGCAGAAATACTGCTCCAATTCAAACATCTGATACATGGGCCTGAACTATGAATTGTTTGTTGAAATCTGGCATTCTAAGGATTGGCAAACTGAATAATATGTTCTTTAACTTCTGTAATGCCATCTGCTGTGGTTGTTCCTATTTCACCTCGTTGGGTTGGCTTTTCTTGGTTAGTTTAGTCAGTGTGGTGTCACTTCAGCATAATTTGGGATTAATTTCCCATAGTATCCTCCTAACTCCAGAAATGGTGTGACTTTCTGCTTGTTTCTTGGAGTTGTTGCATCTTGTATTTGGGATAGCACAGAATAACCAATGTAGTACTTAGATGGTCTGATCAGACCTGCTGCCCTCATTCGATCGAACAACTCTCTGGGTTTCTTCAGGTGGTCTTCCCATCTAGCCAGTCGTAATGTCATCCACATAATGTTCGATGTTACAGTTTTGTGCAACATCTTTCTCATCATGAAGTTGAATGTCATTGCTCAGTTGACTAATCCAAATGGCATCCTCTTGAACTAGTAGCATCAGCCTGGTGTCGTATAGGCTGACTTCTCTTTAAATTCTGTCTGTCAATAATCTTTACTGAGGTAGATATTGGTAAAGAACTTGGCCTAATTTAGTTTTGCAATGGTAGTCTCCAGGTTGCCATAGATTTTGAGTCAAACTTCATCATGAGATTCAGCTTCTGGAAAGCTATACAGAAGTGATTTGAGCTGTCCCTCTTCTTCACAATTACAAATGGTGAACAGTAGGCTATATTTGAAGGTTCAATGACTCTAGGTTCTAACACTTCTTCGACTTCTTGCTTGATTAGGTCTGTTATTGCATAGGGCATCTGGTAGAGCTTCATCTTGACTGGATCCCTGGTTATGGTATCGATCTCGTATTGCACAAGGTCTGTCTTGCCTAATCTATATCATGTAGCTCTTTCTTCTTCTTGCCAGTCGGTTATTCACTGATTTTGATTGACGTTTTTGTACGTCTCATCTCCACCCAGTGATCTTGGGTCTAATAGGTATTCATCTTCTGGTTCTGTGTCTGACAACCACATCTGTTATGCCAATCTGTACCTCAGTAGCTGCACCTATTAGGTCTTCTTTCCTCTCGAAGTACTTCTTCAACAGATTGGTGTAGTAGATCTTGGTTTTTCCCATCCACTTTCACATTATACTCCATTTTGTTGACCATTTCCTGCACTTCTTTCCAATTCAGGGTGATTTTGTTGTTGTCTGTAGATAGCAGAACCAAGACCTTTTGTCTGACCTTGCAACGTCAATCTTTGGCCTTCTTGTCAAAGAAGTATTTATGACTGCCTTGAACTGCGTACAAACTCTCAAGCGAGTTGACAGATCTCCTCCAGTCAGTTTCTGAGGTCTAACACATATTGGTATGTGTTCCTAACTTGTGACTATTCTTCTCCTGTCCACAGTTCTTTCAATACCTACGTTGCACCTCGTACTGTTCTTCAGTACAGTAACTCAGGAGAAAATACTGTACTCACTTTTGGGATTTCTCAGTGAGCAAATAACACTGTCTGCAGGTACCTGTCCCAGTCACATAGTCTCTTCTAACACATCATCTTCAGCATGCTCTTTAAGGCCCCGTTGACTTTCTCACAAAGTCCATTACGTCTGGGGTTGTAAGGAGCGGTAAAGAGCTGCCTGGTGCCGATGATTCAGCACACCTCTTGCATCAGTTCTGAGGTAAACTGCTCCCTCTTTCACTCAAGACAATGAACTACACAATGTATGATTAGTAAACAGTTATGTAATCAAACCTATAATAAACTATTGCCTCTAGAAATAAATAAACCTAATACGTGCACCACATAAACTGTCTAAATTATAACATATTCATTCAACTTGAACTGAAACAGCTGTGCATATCTAACAACTAACATAGCCACAACTGCAAGTTTTATAGCTCAACAGAAGGTAACAACAGTTTAATAATATAACATAAGTCGTATATAATTTTATTTAATTGATACTTGAAACTGTCAGTATTTGGTGAAGCTCCATATTTATAAAAGTAATGGTGAATTTCAAGGTTACTTCTGGCTCTTTGGTTAAACCTCTCTCTTATAAACAGATATACACTATATTTCAATCTGTACCTGATGTTGCTAATACTGGGGCAAAAACTATGGTCATAATAAATGTGTGTGTGAAATGTACAATTGTCTGTTTTCCTCATTTCCATTTATCACTTCTCAGGACAACAATACTTAAGATTGTTGACCTCAAACAAGAAGAAAAAGATTAAAAGGAAAAAATTATAAATCTTTAAAGAGTGAGAGAAAGCAACTTGTATATTAATTATGTCTATGAAAATTGTAGAAACAAATGTAGTAATGTATTACAGGCAAAATAATTTGTTTAAAAAAAAGACATTCATGGAAAACTTGAGATTAAAACTATTTCTTCTGGTGATTTGTTAGTTGTTTTTCATGATAATTTTCTATGACATTTGTTATTCTCCGGCCTCCCGTACTATCATTGAAAAATAATGGAATGTTAGGTTTTTTTGTTGTGTCATTTATAAAGTTTTAACATCTTTGTTCTGTACAGTTGGCAGCCTATCGTAGACTTCATAGATACCAAATATGAGGATTTCTTGAATGCGGAGACTCGAGTCCATCGTACCACAATAGCAGATTCACGAGTTCACTGTTGTTTGTACTTCATTAGTCCTGGACATGGGTAGAGTTTTTGCTTATTTTGTCAGGAAGTCTTCATGAGGCAAAAAAAAAGTTATTTTAATGTTCTAGCAATAAAAAATGAACGCATTATTGTAGTTTGTCTGTATTATAAGAATCAATTAAACTATGAAAGTGACAGATATGATTCGTTTTTAATGGTAAAATGCATTTAAAAAGATAAAACATTTAATTATTATTATATACTAAGGTCATGTTTAACTTTCATTAAACAAAATGTTAAAATGTGTTTTATTTTAGTTTGAAGCCTTTGGATATAGAGTTCATGAGAAGATTACATGAAAAAGTAAACATCATTCTTCTTGTTGCTAAAGCAGACACAATGACTTCAGAAGAATGCAATCAGTTTAAAAAAAGAGTGAGTAGTTAGATTTATAATGTTTATAAGATTTGATATTTATGTTAAGTGGAAAGTAAAACACTTCAAGAGACTTTGAATCAGTAGAATTTGTAAGTTTAATTTTGAAACGATAATTTATAATTTGTAGAGGGTATAGCATTTCTGAGCTAAGAAACAGTAAATATTCTATAAATTTGGAAATGAATAATTGCTTCATTTTCAAGGATTTTATATCTCAGTGAGAAAACTTGTTCTTGAAATTCTAATAAGAACTGCTACATTAGAACTTGATACAAAATACAAGTATACTTTACTACAGGAACTGTCAAATTTGGGCAAATAATAAAACATTAATTATTTCAAAGTATTGTAAAATCAAGCTTCATTCAAGACTGAGTTAGTAAAAGAACTTATTTGATAGTTTGGAGTTTCTATCAACAGATATATATCAGTAAAAAACAAGTTATCCACACCATTGTTTGTTATAAAATGATTATTTCTATGCATGTCACAAACAGATGCAAGCTGAGATGATATACTTATCACTAATATATCTGGCTCTTGGCAAATTCCCAACCCCTTGACAGAGAAATGTTACCACAGTAAACTTGTAGCTGAAAAAGGATGTTACAGCCCATTCTGAGGAGTGATGTATTTTAGTGAAATTATTAATGTAAAGCCAAAGGACCCAACATCACATAGAAGAAATCTGTTATATAAAAACTTGCACAGTAGAGTATTTATGACAACAATAGACTCCAAAATTATACTCAAGTCAATCTAGAACAACACTCATCTACAAAGGGAAGGCAATGGCTATGAGAAAGAACCCTCCAATGCAAAGAGCCATTATTATTAACCAGACGGAAAACAAGAAGTTGAAGTCTTGTGAGCTTAAAGACCACCTCAAAGTCATCTAATGAGATACATATAGTTGTAGAAACTGGAATTTAACCATTTAACCACTTACACACCTATAAGATGTCTAATGCAGTTGCAATAGATATTTGTGTTTTGATCTGCTTAAATGATGCTCATGGCCAGGTCTAGATGTCAAACTGATATCAAAATATGTCGTTTAAGATTGACCTCATTGTCCTTTGCAAACGTTTTGTTATAATATAAATTACTGTATTGGCCAGTAGTATGTAATCATGCATGATCATCAGAATAAGCATGATTGATGATGAGGTAGTGTTACGACAGCGGGGGTCACGTGATGCTACTAACACGTCATACTCTCGAAGCTTCGTGAATCCTCAGGAGGTTACTAGACTTTGGTATTCTTTTATATATAAGATGGTCAAGACGTCACGACAACAATGTAATGCTGTGTAATTGAACTGCGG